CCCACGCCCAGCCCGCAGCCCCTCCGCTCGCACGTTGTCCAAGTTTTGACAGATGTCAGATGCACATGTGCGTCTATTTTATAACTGACACGCATTAGAAAGAGCAGGGGAGTTGTTTACGTACTAACGAGCCGTATAACAGTGACCAAGGCCAATTTTAAGATCTCACAAGAAAATGGCCAAAACTTGAGATCCACAAATGTTAAATTAAAGCCGGCTTCTCCAAGGCTTTGAGCTTTGGAACAAGGAGTTAGATAACCTGTCTGATTGCTGCTGCTACTGGCTCCATCCAGAAAAAGAGAGCAATTCCCAAAGTCTCAATGTTCATGCCTCTTTTCTGCGCCCATCGCTGTAATGTCTCCTTGGGAAAGGGGCGAGCCCTGCGCCCGTACAGGGAATTAAGCGCTTACAGTACAGCAGCCTCCCGAGTGAGGAAGGCACGCGTCATTACGCAGCTATCGGTCATGTTTGCCTGCTTTCTACTTCATAAGTCATGGGCAGAGGTCTGTAGACATCCTCTAGTCTCCAGCTCCACTCCGCACACTTTATGGGTGCATCCTTCGCAGGATTTTCATCAAAACTCCATGTTTTTTGAACACGGAAAGGAAGACTCTCCCTCTCTTGGTTTCCTGAACACGTGATCTGCCCTAAGCCGTGATGTCAGGCTCCCCCTGCGCCTCACTTGCTGTGAACAGGTACCCACGCTGCACCGCCACGGCTTGTCTACAGACACATCCTTCCTGTCTCGACATGAATTACTTCAACGTAAACTCAAGAATCCACCATCCAGCCGCCTCCTTTTTAAATCGTGCCTGTTCCTGGCCTACCAGACTTCACCATTCCTATTCAGATTTTCTTATGTAGGTGTTTCCCATCCTGCTCATCTTCCCAAATACCTTCCATGTTCCTGTATAGTTGCAATTTTGACATTTCTATTTTTCTATCGGCTCTACCAAGCTTTCTTAGACTTGCACGCCTTTGAGCAGCCCCTCTGGTAAATGGCATGGCTTTACGAATGTCATCACAGTTTTAATTAGGGTGGATAAACCCAACCAAGATGGACCTGTCGGATGTGTGTTTGGACAGAGAATAAGTTTCTGTAACAGTCTAGAAAGGATTGTAAGACTGCTGGCAATGCCTTGAGATCCAGTGGGATGTGATCCTTGCCAAAACCAAACTGAAAGCCAGACAGGGAAAGGTTAAATGCTCAGAGTGGAGGGAAATGAGTTAATGTGATACACGTCCTGGGCAGAGAACTTGTGGAAGGACTTCCAGATGTCTCGCGTGGGCCCTGGAGAATCGGCACAAGGGGGTAAGCATGCTCAGAAGACTGAACCAAAAAGCACAAAGCACAAAGACTGAAGGGTCTGGTAATGCCTAGTGAACAAACCCAAACCTGGTTCTAGCGCCTCTACTAAACCGACGGGCTGCTAACAAGGACACACTGCACCTTTGTCACCATCAGGTCTAATCAGTGCCGGTCCCTGCCTTAGCCTGATGTTCAGGGCAGCATCCCTGCTCCGCGTACCAATCCCCCGACTTTCCTTCGGCTGCGAAGGGCTGCGTTCTGCGCCCAGCGTCGCAGCGGGGGGTAGAGCTACAGCAAAGTCCTGTCTTCAGCCTCACTGACACTGGGGCTGGTTTTCCTTCACACCCAAGGGTGGGAACAGCTTCACGCATGCAGCCTTAGGAGGGGTGAAATAGAGACCACTTTTAAAATGGAAAAACCCCACATTTTCTTCCCAGACTTCAGAGCAGAACTGGCTGATGTGAACCCTGGGTGTAAATCTGCAGTACTGTGGAGATAGAATCATAGAATCATAGAATGGTTTGGGTTGGAAGGGACCTTAAAGATCATCTAGTTCCAACCCCCCTGCCATGGGCAGGGACACCTTCCACTAGACCAGGTTGCTCAAAGCCACATCCAGCCTGGCCTTGCAGACATCCAGGGATGGGGCATCCACAGCTTCTCTGGGCAACCTGTCCCAGTGCCTGTTCCACTGCCAGTGCCTGTCCTTCATCTCCATCCCCCTGTTTGGGACACGGGGACTTCAGGCAGCTGTGGGCAGAAGATGATGATCAAGCAGCTTGGGGTTTCTATACAACACAGCAAAGTGAGGGGGGGGTTAGGCTAGGCGTGGGCAGGGTGCAATCGTTTCAGCCCATCTAGCAATGGGTGCTGATTGAAGGCAAGACTCAGCATTCCAGAATGCAGCATCTGGAAGGCCTCTAAGCCTGCTTGCTCTCTCTACTGGAGGTGTTACCTGTGCTCCAGTGCCTTCATGTTGGGGTGTAACTGGTCAAGCTCAGGGGTGCAGAAGTGAGATGGAACGAGGACCTCCCTGGTCCTGTCTGTCCACAGTGAAATGAGGTGAGAAAAGTTTCCCATTGCCTGGGGTAGCAAGTTATGGGCCATCCGTGCTTTTCTTTCATAGGAATAAGGACACAGTCTTCTCCACTGGAGGAGGACCCTTTCCCCGTGGGTGTCAGGCACACAGCCTGCCTTCTGCTCTTGCAGCACATGTTACACAGCCCTCAGCCTCAGCCCAAGGCCTGGAGCACATCTGGCTGTCACAGCAGACCTTGCTGCAGGGTGAATGAGCTCGGAACAGCTCAAGCCAGAAGGAGGGAAAGCACCTAACCTGCTCTGCGAGCCTGAGAAGTGAAGAGGAGTTCTGAAACCAGGGCAAAAGCCCACTGGTTCCACAGACCATCTTTTCGTGCCCTCCCATAAAAGAGAAGGAGACACTCTGGGCAGCTGCCAGGGTTAGGAGTATGTAACTTGTAAGCTACGTTCTTCATCCCTTACAACGGGATACCAGTGCCAACCGTGTGACGCTAGCTTCGCACACCGTCCACGTGCGAACGAGGGTTCACGTGTCCTCGTTCAGAACTTCACAAAATGCCGCCAAAGCGGCAGCTGGGCACCCTGCACGCCGAGAGCCGAGCGACAGCGGTGTGGCTTCTATTATCCTTCCTGAAATGACAACACAGCTGCTTCCTGTGCATGACAAACGTACTGCTTTTGGTCGGGGGTGGGGTTAAAAGAGGTGATGCGGCGATACCGGCCAACGGCGCGCACTGTGCAACATCTGGGCAAAGTCAAACAGTTCAGCGGGGTTTGGCTAAGGAGAAGGGCTCTGCAGCGAGAGCTGCAGGAGGGGTAGCTTTGTCTTCCGCAGGGTGGTCGAGCCTGGACCCCAGTTCAGCAAGCTCCTGTATCCCTGCAAGCTTTCCCTTTCACTCCCTAAGTGCCAGATATGTTTTCAAGACTGGAACAACTCGGGATCCTTTCCTCCCTTGCAAGGGGATCTGCGTGTCTATTTTTCCATGTACCCGTTTACAAAAGGGAGGTATTTAGAGTCAAGTCTGCGACAGAGCCTGGATTTAATTAAGATGTCAGTGCAATGAATCAAGCCAAAAGAAAGAGTTGCCAGTAAATACAAATCTTCCCTCCCACTCCCCTCCAGCAAGAGGATGCAGACTGCGGACTTACCGGGGCAGCCCCAGCCACATGACCCAGGAAGGTGACCACTCGCTGCTCTCTGAGGTTGCCTGCGTGGCCTCGGGGGGTGGTGGCTGGCCCCGCTCCTCCTGGGCATCGCACGCTCTCATCTCCAGGGCTTTGAGCACCACGGAGGAGTTGGTGTTTTTCAGCAGGGCGACGGCCTCGCTCCGGCTGACCCCTGTTAAGTCAATCCCATTCACATTCAGGAGGATGTCACCTGAAATAGATAAAACAGGGAATTTAAAAAAACCCTGCAAGTGTTTCCAGGATTCCCTCCCTACCCCCACGAACAAACAAGGCAGCACCATGGCCAAGAAGTTGCTTCCTGATGAGGTTGTTTGTTAATCCTATCGTTTAACGTGGATGTGAAGCATATGCTAGTAAACATGCCACAGGCATGAGGGAAGGGGCTAGATCCCCACACACAGGAGCATCGCCAGGCCGGACAGCGGCTTTGGTCCTGGTCTGGTGTCACGTCCTGCATCCGCAGCTGAACGGCACAGCTGGGGTCCTGCTGTACCAGTAAGCTTTGGTAGGGGCACCTGATGGTAGTCCAGGTCTCGGAAGCCCACTTCCAGCTAACAACTTCTGTACTCAACTTGAGCTTGAAACCGGAGAGCTCGAAGGTGGTTTTCTCCCAGCGCTCCCTAAGGCAGGGACTGCCGCTCCAGCTGGCTCTCCGCAGTCTGCTTAGCGGAATAACAAGTTATTATTTTAATGTTGATGCCTCTTTGAATGGCCGCAAGCCAAAACATCCTTCTGTGAGCCTTGTTTATAATGTAGGCACAGAGAAAAAAGCAAAGACGACCCCAATGACTATGGGGAGAACAACAAAGACATCATTGATGCCATGCAAGAGGCCACGGTGCCAAGCGCTCCGCTAGCCTCCGTGGCAGGCTCCGATGCCAGGGCTTCCCCGCTGCCCTCTGTGCTTCCCCTGCGTGCACTTCCAGGCAGGGGCTGTGCTCACCGGCAGTCCAGGCAGCACAACATCAACATTAACCTCTTTTTGTGGTCGGACCTGATGAGGCAGACGGCGGCCTAAGGGTTGCTTTACACCGTGGAGGCTTATGGTGCTGTTAGAACATCACATATTCATTTGTTTCTAATTTTATCAAATTAACTAGGCTGAATTTTCCATGCTGCCTCATGATGAATATTTTTGGGGGAAAATGTAGCCTACAGAGGCAGCCATTTCCCAGCAGGAGGAAAGGGGAAACCTGCTGGTTTGCTCCTGTTGTCATGTTCTTACATGGGTTTTGATGAGCAGCCAGAGGTCCCGCAAAGGGGAGGTTCCCACGCGTGCCCGTGCCGGGCACCGCAACCGGGGCTCGCTGAGCACAGGGGATGAAGGGCAAAGGGATGGGGACGTGAGCGCAGAGGGTGCTGAGAAACTTGGCTCTTGGAGATGCAACATCCTGAAAACGGAGAGTTTCACCATTCCCCTACTGCCTACCTCTTGCTGCAAAACCCACTGATAAAATATGCTCCTCATCCTACTCTAAAGGCTTATTCATACGGAGGGGGAGAAGCTATTAATTTTATCACTCTGTTTCAGCAAGAGCCAAAAGGAGATATGAAGCCAATGTTTCCAGACACGATATTGAGCCACAAGGCGCTGACATTGCTTCATATGTGATGGGAATTCTGTCCTTTGTATTTCTTTCAAAGCCATGAATATGACAAACAAGCAGAAAAATTTACATTTAAAACCCATGAAGGTTGCACAATGAAGATTTCAGTAGTTAGGAGATAGTGGTACAAACTCATTTTCTTGTGAAAAACTGGGTTTTTGTTGGTTTGTTTTTTTTTTTTTTTTCCTACCAGAATATGCCTACATCCCACTCACAGCGATGGTTACTGCTGCATATTACACCTTTTGTGGTAGCTGACTTGAGCCCCTCTGATCTGACACATCCCAAAACCTATGGGATCTAAGAAGTCAGGGTGTGATGCTCCTTCACTATCCCCCTGTTTTTCAAGGAAGCCTTTGAATTAGAGCAGGCTTTCAAAAACCCCCTTCTTCTTACCTGTTTTTATCCTGCTGTCTCTGCTGATAACTCCTCCAGGCTCGACACTTATCACGTAGATAGGCAAATCCCATTCCCGGTTAGATGCTCCGCCTGCTACAGTCATTCCCAGCGATTCCGTGTGATCTTTCCGGACAGCCACCACCTTCTCGTGACAGGTGACGGCGTGAAGGGTGCTCTGTGATGGAGAAAATAGCAACAACAGAGTGGGCATGGGGACCTCCCTGACAGCTTAGGCATTTTCCAATGAGATGACTATTCGTTGAGGGAATACCGAAGCACTTCACAGCTGCCTGTGACGTCTGGCCAGATGGCAGACACCACTCTCTCCAGGGCTTAGGCAGTCATGACTACTGCCAGGATAATCCCTGCTTTCATAAAGTCAGCCACTGTTCCCACCAAAACCAGAAGTGTTTTAGTGTTGAAACTAATAGAATCAGGTCTTTGAAATGTAAACAAGGAATCTGATTTAAAAGAAAAAAAGTGTTTCTGGTAGCAATAGCAATACCAGTCCTCATATCTTGGACTATCAGGACATGGTTATTATCTTGCTGCTCACAGTCTGAACATCATCTGTATTGAAATGGTCCACCCGGGTTAAAGGAGTAAAGCCCTTGGGCACAGATTAGAAGATAGACACTTCACTTGCTCTTCCAGATTTCTGTGTTTCTGTAAAAGTTACTGGTGAGTGTACTCTCGAGGAATACGTGTTTCTGTTCAGGAAGAGAGAATGACATTTATAGAGTGAAGAGGCAGCAGCTTCCAGGGTGCTCTTCCCAGTGCTTGTGCTTGAAAGGCCACTTTGGGACAGTCACCTCTACCGTCTGAGGACAATCGTCCCCTCCCTCCCCCTGAACAGGAAATGTTACATACACACCTCCAGAGTCACCATCCCTGGAGGTATTTAATGGATGTGTTGACGAGGCGCTTAGGGACATGGTTTAGTGGTGGACTTGGCAGTGCTGGGTTAACGGTTGGACTCGATGATCTTAGTGGTCTGTTCCAACCTAAAATACCCTGTGATTCTGTGAGGGTCAAACAAACTCACAGGTGGCCTCGGGATGGAGAGGCAACACAAGCTCCAACACCACCTGTGAACCGAACGTCATGTTTACAAACACATCCAGCTCTTTTTGAAGAGTTTGAAACACAGGGATGCTTCTCCGGAAAATCTGGATTTAAATGTTAATTGCTTTGGTTTCCTTAACTATTTCATAAGCTGTGCTCCTGGCATCAACTCCTGAAGATTCCAGCCCCTTTTGCAGGAACAGCACCATCCACTCCAGGCTCATATGTAGATATAATAGCAAGCTGCTAAATACATTTAAAATGTATATTAAAAAACCCCCTCCCAAAACCTCACATTTACAATATGCAAAAATAATCTATAAAATTCATTTAAAGCCAAATTAATCTCTTCATAGAAATCCAAGATCCCACAAGACATTCCACCTCGATTCCTGGGCCAGCAGCACAGAAAGCAGAGCACGCGAGTCCACGGCTACTCCCACAGTGACAATGATGAAGGAAGGAAGACAGCAGCAAGAAGTGTTTATGGGATCAGGGCAGGGTATATGCTTACTTTGTGTCTTTTTTCGAGGTATGTTTGGGGGAACTAACTCCACCTTAGGATTTCTGTGATGCAACAGTGACAACAAAACCCAGAACCTTTTAGCAGCTTAGCAAAACATCTCTAGATGCTTCAACAGGAGAACAGTGGCTGCCACAGTGCTCCAGGAAAGGCAAAGAGCTCAGTGGAAAAAGCCTCCTCTTAGTCACCGGGGCAAAACCCAGACTGATAGAGTTGTTGGGACATATCGCATCTGATCCATGCAGAACAGAGGCACTGTATCAGAGTTATTGAGCTTAAGGCTTGCAAATGAACCTAAAATTTCCGAAGGTTTTACAACATTCCCTTTTAAAAAATACAGATGTTCTAGTCCAGATAATTTTAACCTTTCACCCTTGTCTTTAAGCTGTAAATGTTTTAAACACAGCAGTTCTATCCTTGTGCAAACTTAATGTCTCATCCATGCTTGTGCAAAAACATTGTCCTTCTTCCCTTGGAAAGGAATGGCTTCCCATCAGGAAAAAGCCACTTCCTGAAGCATGTGGGATAGGGACGCTACTAATTTTCACCCAAATGCAGTCTGAAATTTTGTAGCCAAACGTGAAATTGGAATTAGACTTCCATCTCTGAGTGTTCCAAGCAGTCCTGTTACTTATGCAGTGTCCATCATGTCTCAGGCATGATATTAGCATTAGCTGATAAAACAGCTAATGCTCTATTTTTGAGGAATTGGTGCAGAGAGAAGCAGATTTCAAAGCAGTGCTTGGTAACAAATTGTCCTGTTACATTTCAGTGAAGAATCCTAAAAGTCCTGGTACTTTTATGCTCAGCCATGTGGGACCAGTTTTCCTTTGAAGCTGCTCTTCCACATGTCATTTTTTAACATGGTTGCAGATAGAAAGGAATTGGGGCGACTCTGCTGAGACGAAGGCAGTGATGAAAGGAAAGTAAAGCCTTTCTTAGTAAACACACGTAGAGCTTTCTTGGAGGTACCACTGATAATGAGTAAACCAGTTGAAAGGCGGTGTTTATCAGTGGCTGCATATCAATGCATTCTCTTCTAAACAATTGTCCTTCTCTGTCATTCTGAAGTGACCTCAGAGGTCAGGAGAAGAAAAACATAACAGTTCATCTCCTCCTCTTTTTATTTCTTTTTTTTTCCTTTTCTGTATATTTACTGGAAAATAAATAATTACAGCGGATTATCACAGCATCAAAGCCATGACGCGTGTCTTGCAGGCAAGAGACGTAGCTGTGCTGGTTTGGAAAACGTGCTTTACCTGAAGGCTAACCTGCTCGTGTGGACAGAAAACATCGCCTGCTCCAGCACCGGGGCGACAGATTTGGTTTAAGTACTAGACAGTTTGTTAGAAAGGAGTAAGAAAACAGTTCCAATTAAAACCAAGTGCTATTTAATTAATGGCAAAGCTCCCACTGACTTCAAAGCAATTGAATCTGGCCCGTTTACGCATTACAGCCCAGCTTAACAACCTCGGCTGCAGAAGAAAGTGTTTCTGTCGTCTTCTCTGCAATGAATCCAGGCAGCAGCCTGAACAGCCTGGGCTGTGCCTCCCCTACCTCCCTGCACAGGAGAGCAGCTCGGCGTGAGCCTGTGCAGGACCAGCCTCCCGGCACACCATACACCCGGCATCACTGCCGCCACGAAGGACGCGGTCCCTACGGCCCGTCCTCCTCTTTCTCCAGCGCCTTGTTGGCTGCGCGGCTGACCGCCATTGGCATGGGCCTGAAAGAGAGCCGCCTCCTCGCGCTTCCCAGATGGAGGCAGGCTGTCATGAGGGCAACAGCTTGGCCGAAAGCGGTTCCGGAGCTGTCAGACAAGCAAGACAGCTGCTGGCAGCTAGAGTTTATTCTTGGTCCTGAATAGAGCCAAGGCCGCAGAGCAGATTTCAGCCCACGTTTACATACGTGCCCTACAGCAAGAGCTGCTTCCCTCAGAGAGAGCATTCCCAACCTGCTAATATCACCTCCTACAGCTCAGGCGACAAAAAAACACCGTAAAATTAATCAGAATTCAAGTCAGTTTGCAATCTCTCTGTCAATCCCACATAATAAAGCAATCCTGCTGATGGCAGCTGGTAACAGACTCATCAAACTGTGAACACACAGGGAACTCCCTTGAGAGCGAAGTCTGGCCCACAAGCACTGTCTTGGTTTTGAGCAGCAGCGGGCACTGCCTTAGGACACTGCACAGGCCCTAGGCTGGCAGGCATTACTCCTCCTCTAACCTCTATTTAAAAACAAAGAGCGTTTTAGGTCTGCCAAAGCCTAGAGTTTAGAGATCTTGAATTGCAAATGATGTTCAGTTAAACATCCAGCAAAAAAGCATAAGAAATTCAAACTGACAACTCATACCCTACGAAAGAGTAAATAAGACTCCAGTAGTGACTCTAGCAGACCAAAAACGCACAGTGCCTGAAAATCCTCGTGTCCACTGTCTGTACTGATCTGACCCACTGCCAGAGCATCTTCTCTGACACAAGCCCTTCACTCCATGACACAAAGCTAAAGGGGGCTAGGAAAAGCTCAGAATTTTCTTTTTTTGGCTGTGATCTTCCCTGGGAAGTGCCCAAACAGTGGCACTGGACAGAAGGCCACAGCAGCACACTCACTCATGGGCTTATGTAGGGCCCATCTCTTATGGAAAACTGGAAATCCCCCTAAAAGCTGTGATCTACCCATCAAAAGATCATCTATTAGTCTCCAAAGGACTGTTGGAAGGTCAACATTGGTCCTTCAAATCTCACAGCTAACCAAAATAATGTTGGGTTTACCAAGAATTCCTGTCTAACACCTCTCGGTACAGGAAGAGAAAAGGAGGATCCAGGGCAGTTTATGGAAGACAAGTCACATTCCTGAATAATCCCATGTGGTATGAATTCATTGGATCAATGTGGTAGAGCTACCAGGTGCCTGGAGCTTCACTAGAAATCCTACAGTAGCAACACAAGCTAATTGCTGTCCCTCACATATCTCCCTAAGGAAATCATTACTTTATTAGGAAGTAATGCCTTGCAGATGCATCATTAATTGGGCACTGCTTGCTACTGGGTAGTAGCTACCGAGCATTGCCTTCCTGGTTTAACTCCTGCTGATCCAGTCTCACCTTACAAGAGTGACTGTGACTTCATGGAAAAGACAAATTAAAAGTAGATAAATAGATACTAGTATATTTTTTTACATATAAAACCACTGAATAATGTCATTTACATTTTTTTTAAAATAAAAACTGAAAAAAAAGGGTATCTTTAAGCATTTGTAAAATACAGAGCTAGGCTTGTCTCCCAGCTGACAGCTGTGCACCCGATCTGACAGCTGGTTCAGTCCAAAGGTCCCTTTAAGGACACATCTGGCTGCCCATCAGGCAGGATGGATTTAAACCAGCCCTGCCCATCCACCTCCCTGATGCACCCCTGGCACGGGTGGCCAGGGGACCACCTTGCAAGGGTTTGAGTAAGTGGTGACACTCACAGGGACTAAGGTAAATTAGCCAGGCACGTGACTTTAAATTTAGTGAAGTAAATCCAGCTTCTGCAAGGACAGACCTTGTTCTGTCTACAGTGCAAGGAATAACACTGAGTAAACTCAGAAAAGGTTGTTTTCAAAGCTCATGCTGCGTTGGTTTCTGCTTTAAACCCCAAATATTTGGCCATGAGCGTCTCTGTTGTACGCAGCGAGCATATTGCAAGCCTAAATGCACTACACACGTGATGTGACCGGGTACAGAGGGGTGGTTGGAGGGACAGTTGGGTAACCAGAGCCATATCTGGGTGAGATGCCTGCCCTGTGCCAAGTGTCCCCAGGTCAGATCCGGACATGCTGCACGTTGCCGGCCTTCACATCCCGCATCCTGTGCGAGTGCCACAGCAGAACCGACACTTTGGGTCCAAATCTCCCCAGACAGACAGCACGCTCACAGCAGCCGTGGGGACCACAGCCACCGTCTGCCACTGAATTCCCAGCCACCTTAAGAAATGAGCAACAGGCTAACGATTACCGTAATTTTCAAGCAGCTTATGGGAATCTCTCAGGGTATGAAAGCTTTTTGCCTGAAGACTTTGCTCCAGATGGAGAAACTTCAGATAAGCCTCTTATTTTCGTTGGAGCGCATCGCCCTGCGCTGGCTCACGCTGCTGGCCAGGTCTGTGCCCATGGCTGGGATGCTGCGTGCACGTCAGCCCCCTGCCCCACCACTGCCCTTCACCTTCTCCTTCCCTCCCCACCTCCGAGGGACTTGGGGCAGAAGCAACGTGCAAACAATGAGGAACACAGCTTTTACACTTCCACTGAAAATAAGACATGCTTGCTCGGGTGACAGAACCCAGAGACCGCACCCCAAGACCCTAAAACGACGCGAGCGCTCGTGCCCTCACCTTGCCAGGGTTGTTTCTCTCGCCGGGACAGGGCTGGTGGTTGCTGCCGCCATAACTCCATCCTGTCTCCTGCAAGATGTCGGGGGTCTGCTGCCTGGTCTGCCGCGATACGACAAAGTGAACCTGCTTCTCGCTGGCCTGTGGAAGGAAGTACAGCGTGAATCCCACCGTGCTGGCGCAGCAAACCCCTGCACTTCAGCCCGGGAGGATTCACAGAACTTGGGTCCTGTTTAAGTACAGTTTGGATTTCCCACTAGCGTGGTTGCAACGACATAAAGCAAGTGGCATCAGTTCAGGTCATTACTTCCAGATACCTAATTCTTCTCTTGGAAAATTCAGTGATGACTTTGAAAAACCTTTCCTACCTGCCCCAGATTTGGCTGGAAGCAGTGATCCATCACAGCGAGTGCTGACCAGCTCTCTCACACACACCTACCTACACCGCTGCAGAGCAGCGATGCTCCTGCCACAGGAGAGAGACGGGCTACCAGAGCTGCTGCTGCCGGATGGGAACTCTGGGAAAGATGCAATTAACCCTGTAACGAGGGACGTGCTCAAGCCTTGGTTGGCGAAAGTGGGGAATAAACGATGTATCTGAGCCCACCTGCACACAACAAGCATGATTAATTTAAGGAAGCTTCAAGAAAGGGATGTGCAACCATTTTGGGAAGTAAAATCCTACTGCGCCAGAGTGCAGAGTAAGAGGGAGGGCACCAGCAAGCACACAGAGTCGTGGAGTTTAGGATGGGAAACTAGCCCAAACTCTCGCTCTAGGAACAGGCACTGCAGGAAACAATTGACACAAAATAAGCTCAAAATGCTTCTGGGCCTTTGGCATGACGCAGTCGTAATACTTAGGTGACTGAGAGATGCTGCAAAGCTTCTGCCAAGGTGTGTTTGCTCATTATTTTTAAGTTGTTCTATGTGTGCCTGATATTAGTGTTATTAATTCTGTGTATAGGTGGATTTTTTCTGTCTTCTTGAATCGGCACTGTTTCCCTAGAAGCAAATGGCTTCAGTCTTCCCTCAGCGAGGCTCAAACGAATCTGTTCAAGACAACAGTGATCCAAGGGTACAGCTGGGAGGGACTGGGGTTTGGCTGGATAAATCATAGATGTCTGCCCTCAGGGCAAACAAGCGTACTAACAGAAGTGTAGGAATAGCTTCAGTGCTACAGAAGCATACTCAGAAGATAAAAAAATTAATCCTCTAATCTCCTTCTCTCCCGGCTAAAGACCCTAGTGTGGTGGCAGGCAGGAAAGGCTCTTAAGGGCTGGTATCCTTAAGAGGGTCTCCTGCCTGCTTGCTCGCAGGTTAATATGGAGGAACTGCTTGCTGTCTAATGTGGAGCCCCCCACAAGCACATCTGGAGGTCTGATTCCCGCGGGGCTGCAGTAGCGATGCTTGTTGGTACCGCAGCCCCGGGGGCATCAGACCTCCAGACTCGCTTGCTGGCACGCCGACGGGCCCTGCTCGCTGGGGAGATGCTCCAAGGAAAGCCGGCATTGAACAAGCAGCTGGAAACCAAACCCAGATCCAGTTGCACTATTGAAATCAAATCTCCCTCAGACAATTAACAGAAGCCGGAGGAGGCCCTTGGGATTTTTGTTTTTATGGTCTGGTTTGTCTTTTCTGGAGCTGGATTCAATAGCAGTAGCCGAGAGTTAAAAAATGCTTTTGAACAATGTCACTGCAGTTAAAAAAAAAAAAAGCAACCTACCTCTCCTAAACCTCCAATTTCAGGCCTGAAATGTGCATGTTCAGGCTGTGCTATTTCCTAGGGAAGTGATATCTCAGTAAAAAATGTGCACTCCTATTTTACTTTTCCAGTATCTTGGGGGATACGTTTTTTTTTCACCAGCAACTCAAATCTCCACAGCTTCATAATATATCATTTGGTACATACACACATATTTCAAAATAACTTTCTAGGTATTCTTACCAGCTCTGTTTTTATGGAATATTAATTCCTAGATTCTGGACTCAACTAGTACCCAAAAGCAGACTGCTCTATCCCAGGAGAAGGGAATCCACCCTGGTCCCTAGTTTGTAATATGGTTGAGATGGAACCGAACAATACAATCCCAAGCCTCCTAGGGGCATGTGGCCCCACAAAAATCCAGTTTCCTCTAAAACAAACAACTTCGACTTACGCAACTTCTGTTTAAAATACATCTGCTGCCACATGGTTAGTCTCAAAGTTGGTTATTTAGAGGAAGGTTGTAAATGTGATTAATTCTCATAGAACAACTAGCAAAAGTTCAACGAGAGTCTCTATTGCAATGTCACATTTGTCTCCAGGTCAGTCAAGTTGAGTAATTTCTCAGAAATTCAGAGTGTTTTAAAAAGTTATGCAAACAAGAAGACCAGATTTTGTATTTATGTACATCCATATAAAAACCATTAACATTTCTTCTGGTCAGAATATTAATTACTACATCATTCTGATCCCCCTCCTCCTTCTTACCACTTGTTTTCCCCACAATTCCTCCTCTGCTTTTTATGCTGAAGCAAGAATTAAAGAAATGAGGTGAGCTTTGAGACCGAGTGCAAGCAATAGCTGAAACAATCTACTAGAATTAAAATTTGTGTTACGGCCAAACCAAACCAAGGAGGGAGGCAGAGACGCGCCAGCGACTTCTGAGCATCTAGTAGGCAACGGCATCTTAAAAAACAGGCTTTCTGCCGGCAGCATTTGTCGTGAGAGAGGACATCGTGGTGTCGTGCACCCGTCACAAAGAGAGGATGGCGAACATCTGGGGTCAGCCTGGCTCAACCCAGCAAGCTCGGCTGGATGTGCTCACACGGGCGCCCAGTGATCTGTTACCTTGTTCCTTTTCTTGTCGCTCCCATGGAAAACAGATGTGGAATGTCACGTTATTTAGGTTAAAATTGCCACATGTGACACACAAGGCCGCGACTAGAGATGACGCGACGAATGAGAAGCAGCAAACTCCCAAGCGTTATGATGTGTGCACGTTCCTAATTAGCACTTACGTGTTTTCTTCATTTCAGTTCTTGTGACTGAGCTTATAAACAGCCAAACACCTAATCTACTGATTAACAACTGCTTCACATATGCTCATGTATAATTGCTATGAAGAATCAGATCCGTCTCAATGAATCATTATTTAGAAGTCAAAACTAATCAGATTCCACAGAAATCTGATGTTCTCCCAGCTGTGCTTGGCCTAACGAGCCACCGCCACCTCTTAGTGAATGTTAGTTCTGGTTTTAAAGAAACCGATGGCGTATTTGAAGCTTCCACCACCAATAATTTGAAGACCTCAGCATACTGTGAGCGCCACGCGCTGAGGTCTCAACAGGCAGGATGCTGGGGAGAAGTCAGCGGACACAGCAAAACATCCCTGCGTGTAAGAAGCAAATTCGAAACACTTGTGGCTTCAGTACAACGGTTTTTCTCTGGCATGGCATGGAGACAGGAAAGGCGAATGATAATTGATGAAAAAACATGACGGAAAAGACACAGGTTCTGGGAATTTTGCATTAGACGAACGTGATTCATAGAGCTCACATGAACGCAACGTAATCCTGGCTGTTTGGAAACCTGAGTCTCCCCTTTGATGGGCATGCTGTTTAAATTCCCAGGGACTGGTGTGCATTTCCAACATTATTATAAATAACATCCACTCTTTGGAACCCAATAAAATAAGAGCTTTGGTTGCGTTTTTTTGAACACTTGTGTGTGAATGGTCTCGTTAGTCATTTTTTCCATTTCATCTCTAGACTGCATGTTTTTTTTGCTTATGAAGCACTGTTGCCTTGTTTTGTAGCCATAAAGAACTGTTCCAAGAATACCAATTTTTTAGAAAGGTTTTCATTCCAGACTTGTTTCCCTCAGAAAATTTAAACCTCCCCCCACCGCTGCCTTCTGCTCCCAGTTAGCGAGCTACATAAAGTAAACCAGAAAGATGCTGGACCAGAATTTCCACAGCTGGCTTCATGCAAGGGGACACCGTTTTCCTTACCTATGCTATATGTTTCTCAATAAAAGTTGGCTGCAGCCAACTGGGAACTGATGAAAAAGGAGGAATCTTTCCCACAAAATGCATGGATTCAAATGCTTCTTTCAGCAAAACTCATGTTACCCTGATTATACTCTTGGAAAGGGGAAGCAGCCAGCCTGATTTGACATCTTGTTACTGAGGCACATGAAATTCTTCAGCATGTGAACACTTTGCATACCTCCAAATGAAACGTAAAATTGAAAAAGTATAATAACTGCTATAAATATGAGATAAAAGCAACAAAAGATTCTTGGCTCTGCTTTTTATGTTGAAGCTTTCTAAAAATGTAGGCTGTAAAGAAAGAAAACAAATGAACAAAAGAGGTTTGGCTACTTAGACCGTGGGACTCGCTTTGAGAAACCTGGTCTACCAGGGGCTGATGGGGTCCATCTGTCAGAGAAGGGGAAGAGATTCTTTGGTCACAGTCTTGCCAAGCTGGTGAAAAGGGCTTTAAAGTAAAGTTGCCAGGGGAGGGGCACCTCAGCCCATCCCATTCCTACCAGTTTGATGCCAGTGCCAGCAGTAGATGCCCAAAACTTGGAGAAGGATCACAGGAGAGCACCTGAAGAGCAGCACAAGGGAATTCCAGCCACTCCAGCCAGTAAGTCAGCTTCACCAGGGGTCAAACTTAAATGCCTCTATGCAAACACACATAGTATGGTGAATAACCCAGAGGAGTTGGAGGTGTGCACACGTCTGCCAGGCTACGATGTTACTGTCGTCAAGGAGACATGGTAGGATGGCTCCTATGACTGGAGCATTAGAATGGAAGGATACAGGCTCTTTACAGATCCATTTTTTCCAAAACATCCAGATTTCCATATGCTGGATGTATGTAAGAACTATCTACAAGGTATGGAGTACCAGTTGTAAAACACACCCATGGGAAATCACTGAGTCTGGGATGATGATGTTCATCCTGAAACATGTCGTCATTGCCTTAGGATGCTCTGGTTTGCTCCAGGACTGCACCAGGGAGCACTGTGGCTCCTTCTGAGCTGGAGGAGTTAGGACCCAGCTGGACCCAGTGCTCCCAGGGTGCAGGCTGGCCTGCCTTTTGGCAGGCCACTGTTTGGTGGTGCATCACTCTTTGGTGATGCACAGAGGACGTTTACATTGATCTGTACATCACAAAGCCTGATGGTAGCAAGCATTACTGCAAAAGTCGATGTCCATATTCACCCTCATACCCACAATGAATGCAAGGAGCTTTTAGAGGTGTAAATTCACATCTGAGCTTGACACGTCTCCTTCCTTCCCCCAAATATGCACACATGAAGTTTGGTCCCTGCATCATAACAGACAGTGAGAATACACTGTTTGGTTTTTACAGACTTCAGAGACATGGGGCAAAGTGACAGTGACAAACCTGTATCAGCTGGGCCGCACTCTCGGGACTGCCATACCGATGGTCGTGCCCATTGATGGCCAAGACACGGTCGTTCTCCTGAAGCTGACCATCACGGGCAGCCACACCGCCTTCCAGCAAGTTGAAAATGAATACCCCCGGTTCATCGGCCTTGCGGACCAGCTTTATCCCCAGCTGCTCGTCCGGACTGCTTTTGTTCAGCACAATGTGGAAACTGTCATCCCTGTTGCAGTGAGCATCGAGGGAAAGTCCGCTGTTTCGGCATCGGTACCTCTGCTCTCGGAGCACCGTCAGTCGGAGCACGTGGCAGGGTTGCTTCAGGATTGACAGGGCGTAGTTGTGAGGCACATTTTTGATGTCCATGCCGTTTACCTGGAAGAGAGAAGCATAAATCAGCAGCAGGAAGAGTGTCTAATTTGAATTGGCACCGGACAGGGCAGATCTATTTACACAGATGTCTTCATACGACGTGACGTGTGTTATTCCAAACTGTGTCACGCAGGAGGCCAAGTTTGTGGTGCAGAACAGTCTTCCCCCCGAGGAAAAAACGCACTGTACAGACATTTTCTGCCCTTTTTTTTTTTCCTTTATCCCTGATAGTCTCCAGACATACACTTTATTTTTCAGCTTTATTATTGCTCTTTCCCAAGCTCCAATATCCTTTCATATATCTTAGTTTTATTCCACTAGCTTCTGAATTCAAACGGCCTTGCCAGCCTTTCCTTTCACTCCCACCACTTTCCTGGTGTTTCTCTTCTTCATTATCTCCCAGCTGTTCTAGGTACAGTAAAAGATATGTTCCCTACTAATGATCTCTAATTAAAATGAAGAAAAGGGCCTCAGGTAGAAGTTTAAATGTCCTGGATATTTACTAGCAATTATGCTGATATATCACACCGGAGAATGGGGCTTTTTACATTTCTCAGTGTTTTCCAGGTAAGATTTAGCTCAGACAGTGTTAGAACTATATAACTGCCACTTCTCTAATTTGGCTGGGGAAAAGAAAGGAGGAAAAAAAAGAGCTTCCAGTCAATCCTGTCATGTCCGTGTATGTAAGAGTGACTAGGCATTGCCCTTTATCGCTGTTAAATGAAAACCGGTTGCAAGGTTGTAATTTGTTTCTGGCTGGAAAACCCAGATCAGACAAGTTATTCCATGTAGTTTTACACTGCAGAGGTTGAACCATTTAAACATTAAGAAACATCTCCAAACTGCAACAGAAATGTCCCCCAGCACGAACAAAAGCATCCGACCAGCGTTTGTTTTTACAGATTGGACAAGGCTGTCCCCGCTGCGGTCTGGTGGGGGACTGCACCCCTAGAGACACAGGCCAGTTAACTTGACAGCTCCCATACCATGCATGGCACGAGCTGCACCAGCGTGGGGTTAAAATTCCGGGGAAAATCCCCGGTCAGTCAGAGCTGAACTGAGCTGGGCCTGTCTGTGCCACAGTCACAGCTTCCCTCTGCAGACTGGATGTGCCCTGCAGGAACAATTTTGGCTCAGTGATGCCATTAACTCTGCCACTCTGTGCTGGCACCAGGATAAAAAACCTCCCAGAAACGCACGGGTGATACTAATCCAGCTGCCACCTGGAACCACAATCCAGAGGCACGTTTAAACAGTGCCAGAGCGAAGCATGCCCAAGTCACGATCCTGAGACATCCCTTTGGCCACAGTCTGTCAGACATGAAGCAGAAGGCATGTCACAACCCTGATGTGCCTTGGGTGTCCTCAGCTACCTCTGGGGTCAGCAAAAGCTAGGAAAGCATGGTGGCTTACAGGTGGTGCTCTGAAATTCAAAGGACAGTATCCTTAATAATTACTCACATGGAATATGTTGTAGTAGAAGGCAGTAGGGCTGGGAGAACTACTCACCAACCCTACCAGCCAGGGATGTAGAAGCAGGCAGTAAGATGAGCATCCAGAATCCCACCTGGAAAATGACCCTGAGATATGCATGCCAGACCTTGCAGTGCACCCTGCTTCCAGCTCCTGTAGCCTTATCCCAGCACACTGGATAGCCCAGGTACCAGCACCAGCATGGCAGCATGGCCCGCAGTGATCAAAGCATCCTACTCAAGTGTTTACCTCCAATTTGGAAAACCTAAGCTGAGCTCTTTGCCGTCTCTGAGCGTGCTGTCAGCAATATATGAGCTAGCTGATTTAAGCTGCTTTGGGTATACCTGGGTGAGCTGCAGCCGTACGTTTGGCTTGCAATGTGAATATACCTGTGCACTCCAACTACACACTGTCAAAGCAAGGAAAGGAACTAGCATTTTCTGTCATCACTCTCTACTTCCAGGAATCGAAGCATTCATATGATTTAGCATCCTTGCAGAACTCCAAGTCGCTGGGGCAGCCGAGAGCACAGTTTCTAATCAAAAGCTATTGCTGAAGCCACTGCTTGTGAGATACATGATCTTTAACCATCTGGCCTAATTCTTGTTCATCTGTTATACATTTCTATAGAAACAGGAGCAGAAGCAGCAGCTAACAGCTAATGCCTGAATGGTCCTCAGGTTTGTTCTTAGAGATTTCACCTGTGGCTGCTGATGGAGCAACACTCCCAAAACAGAGTGGGCAGCGTCTCACGCTCTGCGGTGCTGAACACATCGTACAGCTGAGCTAGATGATGAAACAACTCTGATCAGGACCCTATCACCTATCCTGGGGTAAGCGGGGCGTAAGGCAATGGAAACCTCACTAAGTGAGCCCACAGTTCAGTAGAAACAAACTGGGCAAAACACACCGCCTCTGCTTTCAGAAAAGGACTTTTGCACCACTGGGGCAGAAACGCCAACAGTCTATTGCACTGTGTTGCATTTCAGACCTCCCGTGTTAGAAATCAGAGAGGCCTGGTTGTGAATAGGGAAAATAAACGAATCTGTGAGCCTCAAAAAACAGTTGAAGTGAATGAAGTCATCACAGCATGCAGAGGAACTGAGCATCTTTCTGCATGCCTTATTCTACCCACATAAACAAGAAATGTTTTTTGTAATCTCATCTCATGATCAGCTTACACCTTATTATCTTAGGATACTTTTATCTTGTACCTCCACAGTACTGTACCTTTAGTATCATGTCTCCAGGCAGCAACCTTCCGTCTCTGGCAATTACTCCATCTCGATAAATATGCTGTATAATAATGTGAACCAAAGGAGTCTCACTGCCTCCCACAATCCTAATGGCCAAGTTTTCATGGGGATCGGTACGGTTGATCTTAATGCAGGTAATTTCCCCATCTGGAATCAGGTGATACAACCTGGGAATACCTGGAAATGCACATTGTAAGGGATTTATTTGACATCACAACTTCGCTTTGTTAAAACATGCACCGCACAGCTTCGAGTACCTGCCAGTTATCCAAACTAGGTTTTATGCATGGATGTGATTTAAGTGGGGAGGAAAGGACACGTGTGCTTGCTGAGTGGACTCAAAGGGATCTTTTTTTAAATGAATACATACAAACTTCCCTTTTTTCCCCACAAAACACAGCTCTAAACCTTCAATATAATCCAGACAAATGAAATGTACTTATAAACAGTTACACGTGCTAATATTTTAAGGGAATAAAATACATTTTTAGTCACCAGAAACCCCTCTGAACCAGGCCACAGCTCCTTGCTGGCCCTAGGGCGGATGGGCATGGACACCTCGACACTGTGCTGGGCTGCACACCGTCTCACCGGTAGCATCCCAGGCTACCCTGATTTCCTCCATTTTTGGTGTCATAGCTGAGAACTAGCTGCTTGGCTTGTGACATCCAAGGAAGCGGTTTTTTACCTTCAGGTAACAGAAAATCAAGATTTCTTGGGCAACCCAAAGCACACAGTAGTTTCCCTGCCAGACCCCTCTCCTTTCATCACTGCTTGAACTCTAGGAAGTAGGGATGACTGGCTCTTACTACCACATGTCTGTATTAAAACCACACTATGCTCAAGGTGCCTGGAGGGAAAGATCTCTGCTGGCCCTGGCAAGCTGGGTGTGGGGAACAGGGACTAATGATGGGCAGGGGTCCTCTTTTTTGTGTTATAATGCACCAGATAAGAGTATCCTCTTCCAAACCCTAGTTTTCAACTGGCATGTTTGCTTTCACAAGATGTCACTAATACTTTCTTTCCTTCTAGGTCAATTCAAAATTTTAATCCACATTCAACAGTGAGCAAAGTTGAAATAAAAGCACCAGTGATTTTTCTAGCACAGGTGTATTAGCCTTCAATTATCTTAAATCTCCCATAGGTGAGAAAGCTTTTGAATTTTTATGTGTGGGACTAAACCAGAGCCTATATGAAAAATCTGTAAGTCAAAAAATGAAGTGATAATGTTTTTTCAATAGCCTACTTTAGAAATGAAAGTACAGTGACTGTTACTGAATAGCAGTAAAGTGTTAAATGAAAATGAACAGAGCAGTATCTGAGATAGAATAAATATTTTCTACTACAGAATTAGCAGACAACACACCAGCAAGGCACCAAAACCTTTTGGGAGAGAGCAAGGTTAAAGAAAGAACAGGAAAAAAAAAAAAATTAAGAGACACCATGTTGCATCCCTTACCACTCCTTTGATCATACGCTCGTCGGGGTGAGAAGCTGTCTTCCTCCACGTCTGCAAAAATCACCTACCGGCAGCACAGACTTCGACTTTGTGGTTTTACACAGAGTTGACAGGCAACAAAAGTCTATCTAGATAACTATACAGCCTTCATCAACCTAATATCCAAGTATTCATTTAGTTTATGCTCCTGCAGCAGCAGTTTCTGCGTTAGTACAGGTTTACCTCTGGTTTACACACAACTTTGATGTCTCAGGAATGGAAGGTGCTTTATTCTCGCCATACCCTTCTGTTTTCTGAGCATTATGTGCCTAGCTTGTAACTTGCTTGCTTCACTCTAGCCTGAAGGATGGATTCACTCCATCTAAATCCAGAACTCTAAGCCAAATGCATAATTTGGTGATCTACTTGCTCTGGCTTCCTTGACAGTACATGGGCATCCAAGGGGAGTGATACCCGCTTCACCTCTTAAATCAGCCTTGGAAACTCTCTCCACTGCTATGTAAGAAGAAAGAGGCAATTAACTCTGGCATCTCAGTGGGGTGCTTAAAGTCAGATGACACAAGTACTCCTCAAAAATCACCAATGGCCTGATTCCTGCAGCAGAATAAGCATGCACATTTTACACTCTCAGTGTGGCTCTAAGTGTGTTTGTATGTAAAATATAACCTGGATAACTTGGATCCCCATATGTTCTCTGCATGGAAATAGCATAAATTAATATCTCTGTATATTTTGAAGAATACCAAAGCAGTTTTATAGCAGAACTCTTCCATTTCCCAATGTGTGATGATTCACCTCATGTACTAAAAAACTGTGCTTTTTGACTCAAACAATCATTCTCCCATACCTCATTCCAAAAACCTTTCTGAAAGAATCATCCAGTTACATTTTTTGACCATGGAGAACTGTGGACCATACAAGCTATTGACATGCTCACGTTTATTTCAGTCTGTAATTATCCCAGAGCAAAATTAGAGCAATGTGCCAGTGAACAAGTCTCTACACTTACGTAAGACTTACATATATCTTTATAGAAGGCATAAACTCATATAAGTTTCTTTGCATCTTGAACAGTGCCTTAACTGTTTTATTAAGGTTTGCAGTGGCACTTGGTTGACTTTCAGTATGACTTTATGATTTAAAAAAAAGTAATGACTTTTAAAAAAAGTAAAGTATGACTTTATGAGATTTAAAATCTCTTTTAAAGGACTTTTTAATACCTTCTTTTCTTTTGAAGTGTGCAGTCTACAACAAAACAAATCTTCCCAAGACATTTTTCTTGCCAGCCTGCAAGTCACCAGCGTCTCTCTTCTCATAGTTAGTGGGATATACTGCCTTAATCCTTGCCTTCAATTGATTTGTGTCCTTTATCAAATGTAATCAATAAACTGCACCATTTTCTCCTCAGATGGGCTAAGCAACCAAAATAACTCCACGATCCCTTGATTTCTGCTCTCTTCCTTGATGACTTGCCTCTTGTTTTGATCCCCGACACGTACGTGGGTGTTTGTATCTCAAATGACCTAGACTGTCATAAGTGAAAGGCCAAAGCTTATTTTGATAAACTAACAGTGACTTTGACAGATTAAAGGTATAAAATACACAAATAATTTTTTTTTTTTTTAAAATAAGAACATTGGCGATCAGTTTTTCACCGGTCTGCATACAGTGTGTGCATTTTCACCAAAACCTACCATGCCTATGTCAAGAAGATTCCGTGTCTGGAAAGCAATGTCTTAAACTTGTATTTTTCTAATGTATATACCATACCTGGAAGAGGTGGACCCTGCTCCAGCACCTGGTTGCATACAGTGAATGGGGCCTCAGCAGCTTTATATAAGGGACTCCAACAGGGTTGAGGGCTTGTACCATTCACATATACACAGCCCATTGTGAGGCTGGAGCATCAGTTTGCACAGACAACAATTTCCATCCCTTACACTCTTAAATTAGAATTCTCCATTCTCTTTGACCAGGTTTTCCGGAGCAGGAAAACCCAGGAGTATTGCATACCTTTCTTTACCATTTTATATTTCCAGTCCTTAAATATTGAAGAGCTGCTGAATCTAGAAAGAAGTAAACTTTCTGTCTTGTTTTTGGTGGTTCTTGCAGGTTTTCCCACAGGGTGTTGTGGTTTTGTCACCGGGGGTTGTATGGAGCATTCTGAATCTGTCAATATAATAAAATGTCATCTGCATTCAGAAAGACTGTGTGTGCTTTTTCCTCAAGCATATTTTCCTTATATTAGTGTGCAGGTTTTTTTGATATTTTCACATATCCCATTACAGTAACAAATAACATCAGGGGGACCAGCTTTACACAGTAAACACCACTTGTCTGGGACAGTGTAGGACACCAACCACTCATCACTACGGTGGCCATGAGACTGTAATACAAAATTTTAACTATGCTTATTATTTTATCCATATAGTTTAAAATACTTAATGGTAACATTTCTTCAGGGCTCAGGTTTTGGCAGACTTTCTGTGTGCACGGCGCTCCTTCTGAGTGTTGCCATGAGGATAACTTGGGCCTTCATCCCCACTGTGTAATGTTTGCTGTGACTTTTGAGTCCGGATTAGTCAAAGATCTCCGTAAACAAAACTTGTGCCTCAGGTGGCAAGTCCTTGCTTAGATCAGAAGGTCCGACTGATGTGAGGTGCCAGCCCACCCCCACAGGTCAGGCTTTCTGCAGGGACACATGCTCAGGCTTCCCGCACCTGGTCACCAGAACTTAAACAAAGCTCGTGTGACCTATTCTTGGAACATTCTTGTGTCTGCGAATGTCACATGCACTCGCACTAGTGTGGGACTTGGTTCTGCAACTCTTCCTTCCCAACTGATTTTCATTTAGGCTTTCATTCTCCCAGTGTTTTGCCATCATTTTGATCTAATGCCTTCCATTCATTCTCCAGGCATGCCAGTCCGATGCAGGAAGCAGGTAGAAGGCAGTGCCAACTCTAATGTCTCTTCTTGCTTCTGGACATTCCTCTCACCAAAGGAGTCCCAAAAGAACTAAAATGAAACAGTTGTAGAGTTGTACATGTCTCAAAAGAGCTGTGTCTCTCTCATCTACAGCAGGCAAAGTTTATCGGTCTGCAGTGGAGGAAGTGCTACAGGACCAAACTCTTTCTTCTGGAAATTACCCGGCTCATGGTCCTAGACCAGCGTGCTTTGAACCAGTCCTGTAAGATTTCCAACAGCCGTTTTGGAAAATCCGAATTGCAACGGAGTCAAATCTGGGAAAACAGGAACAGCGTGGGCTTCCTGCAGGGTGCAGCCTTCCCCAGACAGAATTTGGACTGTGCTGTCTTGTTCAGGGGCTGGATAAGCCATGTTCTTTTCTGTACATAGGGAGCCTTAATGCCATGAAATGTCTGATACGGAGAGCCATCTGTGCTTTACTTACCTTCATTTTTTTCATGTACCTTTCCCAGACATTGAAGTATTTATACTATCTATCTGTCTATCTATTTATATATATATATACACACATGTGTGTATATATATATGTTTATGAAATAAAACAGGGGTCAGGCTGAACAGTGGGAGTGAGATATACCCACACAACTGGAGAGTCTGTTCTGTGGTCCTGCCACTGCCTGCCAGGGCTGCCTTGGTCTTGACTGCTGCAAAGCAATAACAGATGGTAGAACTGCACCCACCATGAGACTAAGAAGAATGAGTTTGACTTTGAACAACATTTGCCATCCTCAAGCAATAATAAATTCAATTTATATTACAATGGCTTGACTGCAAAATGAGACTGATGAATGTTTTTGAAAAGCAGCAGCATGACACCCTTTTACTGTAAAACCGTATGGAGGTTTTTGCAATCACATTCCCAAACTCTTTCCTCCTAAACTGTTAGCTGGTTTATGACCTGGTATATCAGTTTGAGTAAAGAGTACGTATAGAGCGAGTCTTTCTTGGAAGTGAATTTGAAGAGTGTGATGCCAAACTGAGAGCACAGTGATACAAATAAGAATAGCAAAGCTGGAGCAGCCTTTGCTCAGAGATATTTTAGCATTCAAGTAGATAGCCAAGGTCATTTACACTAGTAGATCCAGTCAGAAGATATTACATCTTAAATGCATCACTGCCGGAAGGATGTCCCTGTCACCTTCCCTCATGTCTCAGAATGAAACCATCTCTATTAAACTTTTCTAACTTCTACTTCAGACCTGGAAAGCTATTTGTAGCTGTAAATGCTATTAATGAGATTACCCTCAGGTAGATATCACAAGCTTGGGTGCTGCACTACAGACAAGTACCTCTTTGCAAGGGTTATTTTTAATAATTATTAAAAATGAGAAAATCTTATCACATCCTCCCCACACATAATTCTCATCAGCATTTGCACTTTTCATTCACTTCTAACATTTTCTTCAGTTGGACAATGAACAATTCTCTGCTGAAAATGTCACCAAAATGTTTGAACAGAGGAACAAAGAAAGCCTGAGTCATTGGAATAAAAAATAGGTGCATATCACATTGTTTGAACAAATCAAACCACAGGTTGCAAATGGAAATCATGAAATAATCTTCACAGTGCAGGACTGATACCAGCTCCAGGTATTAGATCGCACTAGACTGTAACTATTTCTTTGCTGTAATTACAACAGAAACACATTTTCCCTTATACATCATACTTTTTGGTGTACCTGGGTAGCAAAGGAGTATTCCAAAACCAGTACTGCATTCATCTCCAAGTTAAGCAGAAACATGGCTATTTGAATATCTTTTCTCCCAGATCAGGAGTGACTATTTTGTCTTGCACCCCCGCAGTCATATTGCAACAGAGCATTGGCCCAACAGACATATCGGCTTCAGATTAAAGGCACCTACACGCTCTGCAGTGGGCAAATAGTTAATGCGGCAGCAGCACTGCTGATGCGGGAGGCCAATACATGAGTACACACGATGGTTTTTGTTCTCAGAGGACCTTTGACCAAAATATAGGCAAAACACAGATTAAACAGAGACATCTGGATTAAGTTGAGGGAATTCTGAAAACTGGGGACAGATGGACTATAATATACTGATCTTTGTCAGTCGACCTGACAGCTCCTTTATCAACAAGAGGTTATCAGCAAGAAGGGGTTACTCCACTCTGTGCCTACTGTGAAGCTGGCACAGCCTCAGCTTTACTCTGAGTAAGCCTGGGGAGGAAAGGAGCCCCAGAGAGGTGGTGAGGTGCTGCCTGATCTCCCAGAGCGATGAGGCACGGCTGAGGTGTGCTTTCAAGTGATCAAAGTTTGGGACGGTGAAACTTGGAGCAAGGCAGCAACAGCTTTCACATCCGGTGTGGGGGCCTCTGAGGCCGGGAATCATCACCGAAAGGAGCACCTTCATTCCCAGGAGAGCAGAATGGCAATGGGGAGACAGACATGTCAGGCTGCCTTTTTGCAGTGGGTTTGGGCTGGACATTTATTGAGCACAGGGCAGAGCATACTGCAGCTATCCCTAAAGACTGACCAGCAATTCTATCCAGGAGCCTAACTGCAGACTGCAAGCACAGCTAAGGATTTAAAGAAAATAAGTAAGAGAAGAAGACATACAGAACTGGAGAAGAAAACAAGCCTCCAGCTGGCAGGATGATAATAACTGCTAGAGAAAGAAGTATATTCATTTCCTCCTCCAACAAGAAGAAACAGAGGAAGCCTTTGAGATGCCATTACACGATGCACCTGTTGCGCAGGACTGAGTAGAGATCCTTGTTAAAGTTATATTTGCATTACTGCAAGTTATTGCTTGCTGCTTTTTTTTTTTGAAGACCAAATTCCAGAACTGTGTCATCAAACTGCATTCTTTGCATACATAATTAATGCAGTAATTTAAGTACCCAGCTTCTGTGATCTCATACGTGAGAGTAACTGCTCATTAAACAATTACACGCCTACCTGGTTTTTCCAGTGCAGTAGAATATATTTGGCAGTTTACAGGCATGCTTTGTGCAGAGGAATGAAGCCACAAGCAGAGTCAAGGAGAGAATGACAATCTTGACGCTGTCAATGAGGCCCTGGAGTGATTGCCACTTCAGGGTCCCATTATATGTCCCTTAAAAAGGAGACAAGAGCGCTTTTCATTCTGCTGGTGTCATCTTCACACTTCCTTCTGTTAAACATCCCAACTGCACTGGATTACTGGATAGGTACTGTTGGCCACCAGATCATCCAGACACTGGCCATGAAGCCAAGCTTTCAGTGCAACAATTAAGGTTAACAATTTTGAATTATCAGGTTTTATTTTGGCTGCATCAGCAAGTATGTGGACTAGGACAGTAAGCACCAAGAGCACAGTAACGTAGTGAAACTCTCCTGAAGGAATAAGCAAATAAAGCAGAAGAAATATTAAACATTGTTCTCCGATTCACCATGCCTAGAATAACGATGCCTAAACACAGCATTTGGCAGCGCCTTGTCTTTATTTTCTGTGGATTTCAACAGCAGCTGGAAATACAGAGCGAAGGGAAGTTGGATATTTTGTCTTCTGAAAGCCCTTACCCTGGACATTTGATCTGGGAAGAGAGGTCAGGTGCTGAGGCATCAAGCAAGGGAATAACAAGCGTGGTGAAGACCTTGATTAAGACAATGATTCCCACTCTATCATCACTTCCTCTTGATGCATGAATGTTAATGTTGGCTTCCTAATTACGGTCCAAAACAATTACTAACATTTGCTTGTTGCTTTGAGGATGTCAAATGTTAAGTGTTACTGCCTGCCAGACCCCTCATCCTTGACACAGGTCAGACAAACTTGCTTCTCCCCTCTGTTTAAGAGCAGGGCATTCTTACCTCATCACCCGCCTGGCTGAGGTAACACAAGTCTGTCACCAAGGATCCCACGGAAGTGCTGGAATAATTACTGTATTTTGCACTTCCATACCCTCCTCCCACTGGGAATTTCCAGTGTTTCAAAAACGTTAGCCAAAACTCCTGAATTTCCTATAACGTATGATCACTGTGACCCGTTTGGTTTAGGGGGACATACTGATGAAGCCTCTTGACCAAATGACCAAGCAAATCAATGACAGCTTCAGTAACATTTCCAGTTAGCCAAACTAAACATAACATAAACGTTAACCAAAACTCCTGAATTTCCTATAACGTATGATCACTGTGACCTGTTTGGTTTAGGGGGACATACTGATGAAGCCTCTTGACAAAATGATCAAGCAAATCAATGACAGCTTCAGTAACAGATCCCGGACTCCTGGATCCCGCATCCAGTGTGCTAGGTACTGGGCTGGCTGTAGCAGGCAGGCTGTTACCAGAAAAGCCCTGTGTGAGGTCCCACACATCCCAGCAATATTCTCACCTGCCAGTCACTGACAGCTTTTTAAAGAAAATATGGAAAGATGGAGTTTTCTTGGGTTTTTTTAATCATGAACAGCTCCCCACATGAAAAGCACATCAGTCACGGACATACAGTTCCCATGCGGATAAGATCCCTTACCCCATTTTAAGTGATAACAAGAGAAGGAGAACAAGGCATTACCTTCTTCTCCAGCAGCAGAGTTTCCAACAGTCTCCCTTTCCCGGTCAACCTGGTTGGAAACGGCGCTTCCACTTTTTGTCCTTCGAAGAACACTGAACGCCTTGTTTATTTTTTTAAAAGATCTGCTTCTTATAGTGGAGCGTTCAAAGTGTCGAGCTGCAACAGCAGGAAAAACAAATGAATACAGTTCAGCAGTCCTGGGCTAGAACCACATCATTTCTGCAGCCATCATCAGAAATGATGGGGCATAACATCGACAGCAAGGGTGCCTGCACTTCACCTTTGCACCTGAATCCAGCTAATACTGCAAGGTTGCACCCACCTCAATCCGCGTACAATTATCCTCCCTCTGTCCCACACCATGGAATTGCAACCTTCCCTGTCTGTTTTGCCAGCCACACACAGAAATCCCCCATGAGTGTGGTAGCCTGGGAGAGAATAATCCCCAGTCAAGGCAGAATCAGCAGCAACCCTGTGAAAAACGTATATAAAAGGAAGAAGCACTGCCCTTCCCAAGCTATACAAGTTTGACAAATAAAGAAAAAAAAAAAGTTGTTGTTTAAAACTCTTCTTGAAAAAAAAACCCAAACCAACACCAACCACAAAACAGAAAAACAAAAACCAATCCCACACTACTGCCTCAAAACCTGGCAGTGCTTCCAAATCTTCCAATGATAGCCAACAATTTCATGTCAAAAATTCAAAGATTATTGGGTGGGAGGGACCAACTAAGTCACATCTTCTGACCTGAGTGAGGCAATACAAAAAAAAAAGTCTTAATACTTTCAAAACATGTCACACTCTTCCTTCCTGCTGAAAACTTTGTGGCTGTTGCTGTCCTGTCTCTTTGAGCCCTGCATAACAACCAAACTGTAATCTAATAACACAACATCGCCCCAAGCAGACTGCTGCCTCTAAATGCAATAAAACTGGTGGGATTTAATTTCATTCTGGTGTTCTCTTCTTGCCCCCTCCCTTTCGCCCCACGCACTGCACATTTTCTAGTCTTTCTTCAGCCCTTCATCCATTCTTCTAACATACAGCTTGTGCAACACAAGGTGGGCTATTCATTTTGGTTTCAGAGTCCTCAGATGCAAGCTTTGAACTCAGTGTTAATGCTTCCAAGTCTGCCTTTGGCCAGGGCATATTTTTTTCAAATGTGACACTCATCAGAGCCGGACGCAGTGTCATAGAGGGAAGGATCAAGTCAAGGTTTCCT